ACATATATATATATATATATAGGCCTTTTAAATAAGGTTTTTGCCTGCATGTTTATAAATGGTGGTTTTGCATCTTGTTTCACATCCATCCATTTATCAATGAAGTTACACAAATTTCACCATAAAGGACTTCAAACTGTCAGTAGGTTCTGTCAACAGAGAATTTATAGATTATTTCAGCCCAAGCAGTTGTATGCACAAGTAGTTCCTCCTTCTGCCTGGAGTGCTATTGGATACATTGCTTTTCATATTCCACCTTAGCCAGTAAGTCTATAGGGAACAAAGAACAAATATATTACCTATCACAGGTGACAGGGATGCTAAGCAGCTAGCCTTTGATTAGGTTATTGGCTAAAGGAACAGAATAAAGAGCAGATGCAGCCGTGCAGAGGCAGCCAGTATTTAGGGACCCATCTTCTTTGCATTGTTTGCACAGATTTTGTGTTTTACTAGGAATTATAGTGCCCGGTACGTGTTTTACCTAGTATTAGGGATCTGGAATCTCCAGCAGTTACAAAATAAATCACCAATCTACAAGAGGCCTGAGGTTTCTGCATATTTATCTCGTCCACCCTTTAGCAGCCACAGCTTGTGTACACTGGATACTTCTGTAATCCTGCACATACGAATCACAAAAAGGCTTCAAAGTCTATACCAAATGAAAAATAACACAAACGCAAACGCCTTGTTTTTAACAAAGTTATGCAGTTTGTTAATTTTCTCTTTTCCTGTATCACTGACTAAAACAACAAAAAGTGTGGAGCATGCTATTATGACCAGAACTCAAATTCAAAAAGTTTTTCACAAATTAGTTTGTCTGCTCCAGGATAAGAACACAAACTTACTTTCCATGAAATATTTAAATATACACCCCTGTGAAAAGGGCTGTCCTTTGTTTCTGTCAAATAATATAACTACCACTTGCAAAAATGGAAAGTAGATAAAATGTTCCTTTCTAAAAGAGAAGTTCATAGGAATAAAAAGAAAACAAATAATGTGTAATGTGGCAATGCCTTGTAATAATTTAGCTCACAGCTTCTCAAAACAAAAGTTAAAAATTCTCTCACACCAATTACAGAGAGACTCTACAAATTATCTCAGCAGAATAAAGAGTAAGCATTCAGACAGAAAACTATTTTTAGTCTTCTAAGTATTAGGAGTTCAATTTGTTAGAAATGTCCTTATTTAATCATCAAATACATTAGAAATGTATTCATTTACAGTCTGAAAACTGGCACAAAACCTACTAATTTCCACTGTAAAACATGGATCATGGAAAAAAGTAACCATGATATTTCCCAGAACAGTATCTGCCCAGAATTAATTTAATACTGCAATTTTATAAGAACAAACAGATGTCAGAAACCTCTGACACAGATTAATTTCTAATTTAGACCAACATGTTATCATTAACTTTCCAAGTTAGCAACTCACAAAAAAAAAAAAAAAAATCCAACATCCAGAATTTTGGACAGATTCAGTGTAATTTTTTATTTCATTTCTGAACCTTCCCTACAGGCTCATAATCCTACACCAATATAACTGAAAGTAAGTTACATTTTTTTAAAATGAGAAATTAAATCTTAATATGTAAACAGTTGAAGATGTAAATAAAGCACGTTAAAAAAAAAATAAAAAATCCAATATCCAGAATTTTGGACAAATTCAGTTTAATTTTTTATTTCATTTCTGAATCTTCCCTACAGGCTCATAATCCTACATCAATATAACTGAATGTAAATTACATTCTTTTAAATGAGAAATTAAATTTTAATATGTAAACAGTTGAAGATGTAAATAAAGCACGTTAAAAAAAAAAATAAAATTTTCAAGTATCACCCAAAATCCAACTATTGAATTCATATGCAAAAAATTGTGGACGCAGACACTAGTACTATGGCTTCAGGCTTCTCTCAGAGAATTTTCTGTCAGACTGTTTCCCCAGTAAAGACCAAGATTTCTTTGAAATAACAATTCATCCAAATACCATTTGCTATTAAATATGCATTCTAAACAATAAAAAAGATGACAGAGAACTGAAGCAATAGTAGTTTAGGAAAGCACAGCTGGGAGCTTACTGGATTTTGTATTTAATCCATTGCAAAATATTTATGACAGTTTTGAAAGGGTAGTGGGGTTGGGTATTTGGTGTGGTGGTTTGGGGTTTGTTTCTTTTTTTGTTTTGGGGTGGGGGTTTTTTTGAGACATTTGGAAAAAATATCTATTCCTTAAAATTCACAGTACTAATAACAACAAACTAAACAACTAGCTCTGGAGAGACAGTTGCACCCAACTGTGGCAAGCAGTAGAACATTTATAGAATTTTAAATATTTCTTTAATAATTGATGTTGTCATTTTGAATCTTTCTGCATAGGATAGAACGTGTGAGTAGATTGCATTAACACTGCTTAAACATTTCAACTTGTCAGTATGGCCAAGTCGATTTCTGAAATATTTGCAGTATTTTCCCATCGAAACAGTAATAAAGGCAGAATAAATATATGCCACTGCTTTATAATCACTGAACATTAATGAATATTTTATGTCTTTTTAAATCTCCCTGTTTAATTTAAAAGGGTGAAATTAAGTCTCCTCCCTGCAATATGCCAATTATCTGTAAATCAAACAATAAGTTGGCCATTATACTCCTTTTTGTTAATATACCAGAAGCTAATTTGAAAACATTGAACGGCATTTTTAGGTAATAATTGAATAGTCCTTCCTGCCCTCTTGTGGTTGGCAACTGCAACTCGTACAGAGCTTTTCCACAACTACAAAAATAGACCAGAAGGGAAGTAAACTATTAATTTGTTAAAGTGTGAACAAGAGAGAGAAGGAAAAAAAAAAAATCATATCTAACAGTCCCTGGAGAGGAGAAAGACAAGGGAGAGAAGAGAAGGAAAAATATCACCGATTCCTCCAAATTGCTCAAACTGACTAGATTCATCAGTCATTTGTTACAATGCTCAGCCTATGCTAAAAGAAAAAAAAAATAAAAAGCCATTAGGGAGTTAACATATGAAACAGTGCTTGTTTTCTATAATTAGACAAACGTTCGCCAACCCTTTTACCTCAGCCAAATCCCCAGTGATTTCCATGAGACTTTGCACAGACTGACATAGTCACCTGTTCAGCATCGGCTGCACAAGAAGGTCCAGAGTTCTCTTTTCCTTTGAGCCTCTGAAATGGTCTTCAGAATTTTATACACTCTACTGGATGTAATACTTAGATACAAGACAGAAAGGCAACATAAAGTTCTATACTCATGCTGGTTATGGGGTGGTAGGGGTTTGGTTTTGTGGGTTTTTTTTGTTGTTTAATTGGGAAAATCATATCTGACTTTTAAATTATGTTGACTTTATATGATAACATGTTGACTGTAACCTGCCATTACTAACAAACAAGAAAACTTGGAGCATGTAATGGCAGTCTAGTTTCCCATGTCTGGTTCCTTTAAGCCATGTAAGACCAACCAGTAAAGTAGTCATTGATGCAGCACAGATAAAAAGCAAACAACCAGTATGCACATATGTTTTCTTGTAGAATCTCACCATTTTAAAATTAAAAACACATATTCTGATCATTTATTTCCATAAATTTCCAAATTATTTTTCATATTAAAGAGTCAGAGCTTGGCCCTCCAGAAAAGAAACTGATGCAAGTATGTTTGTTCCTATTATGGAAAAAAACAAAACAAAAACCAAACAAACATAAAACCACCAAAACCCAGAACTTACTCCAATAGGTTTAAAAAGGTAAAGCAGAAAACAGGCTTTCACAAAGGGGAAAGACCAGAATTTAGATCTTAAGACTAACAGGATTCACAATGAAAACAGTGATAATTTTTCATTGTCATATAAGATATCGCTCCTATAGCTAATATTATGGAACTTAAAATAATTCTGTCTAAAATGTCAGCATGTGGCACTAAAAACTTCAATAAAATCTGTTCAACCCTGAAAGACTCAGAGAAGTGTCAGACCAATAGCAAACATACATTTAATTTGAAAAGCAAACATTTATTCTTAATATTTTGTAATGTGAATTCTGAAGATTCACATTTCTAGATTGTTTGTCATGTTTCCAGAAGTTAGTAGGTTATATGGAAAATAACATCCAAAACACCTGGCATTAGACATAGCGTGGAGTCCAGAGTCATATTAGAGACATTTGTTCCTATAGGACTTAATTCTGACAAATTTCTCTACAATATCACCCCTTGCTGGCCATTCTACAGAATGGCAGTGACGTCCATTATACACAAAACCATTTGGCTACCAAGCCAGTAAGAATTACAGCACCACGAGAGCAACCAGTAATGGTAGAGGTGCCTACAAAATGGAGATGGAGCTGGTTAAAAGAAAGGAAGACAGAGGGAGCTTCAAGAGGCTTAAAGATAAAATGGAATTTGAATAACTGCCTTTCCTCATCCCTCTAGAATAACTCAATAAATACTGTTGGCATATTTTGCTACTACAACGCAAAAAGAAACATCTTTTCTGTATAATTTAATAGAAATCTTTTTTAGGCCAAGTTCTTTAATCAAATTACAGCACTCTTGATGATCCAGTTGATTAAACAACAACAAAAAACCCTAATAAAATAAAGGAATATCCATAAAGACCACGTAAACCCTCTTTAACAGAATTGGCATTAGCTATAATGAGCTACATTTATTCTTCAGCTGTGAAACAGCACTCACCTCCTGAATGGTACTGCTTCCTGAGAAGTTGAGGTTGTACTCCCGCTGGACTTCTCGATGGGTGACAATCAGCATGAAGTTTTGATTTAATGACTCCTGCAGAGCCCTGAAATGGTTGAAAGAAAAACAAGAAAATCAGGGATAAGCATGTTATAGCTTGTTTTACAGTTAGATGCAAAAACCCCAGGGTACCCTAAACTCTACATAGACAAGTCCAGGCACAACATTATCATCTCTCTTTTCACTCTTAAATGCAAGGAAGCATGCTGAGAATGACCAAAGGCCATTCCTGAACTCCTTCCTTAATAAGGTGACTGCAGCCTTTAAAGCTCTTCTAGTGTTAAGTATTCTCAAAATCGAGAGAGTCACATTATCTTCACAAACATTGGGTATATTTAGCACTCATAATGCCATTAATACCAGGCTTGTAAGCATATTGACGACCAGACAAAATATCAAGCTACAATGCACATTAAAAACTGATGGTAAGTAGAACAAGGCAAAGCATGCTCTCGCTTCTCTAGAGTTACCTGAAGCATAAACCAAACGGAAATTCTTCCGCTTAGTTTCATTCAAAGCACATAAACCCAGCTAATTAGAACTGGAAAACTAACCACAGCAAAATTTCTCATGTGGGTATTGAGCATTTAGAAAAATTAGTTCTTCTCGAATTGTTTTAAATGTACATCAAAACATCTTTAAACATATGAATTAAAAAACCCAAAACTTAAGATACAGATTAAACAGGCCAACTATATGTTCATGTTGTCACAAACTTGGGGGGTTTTTTGTTATTTTCCTGGTAACAAGACATCTGGATGTTAAAAAGGTGTCCTGTTTGCTTAATTAGGTACAAAATTATGCAGCTATCTACTTTTCAAAATAGAAGGCAGGACTTCTGTTACAGACATGGCAATTACAGCTGTGCACAGTTTTATACTGGCTACAAAAGTGCAGCAACAGCAAAACACAGCTTGGGTTTCTGAACGACGTTTATGCAGACTTGATCTGTTCAGTGGCATATGGAATTAAACTGGGCTTATTCAAGTTGGTGGGTTTTTTTTTTTTCTTATCGCATAGTCTCAAAAGAATGACAGACTGGGGTTTTTTTTTTTCCTTCACATCTTCACCGTTTGATGACACTTCAACATGCCATTCCTCTAAGCCATAAAGGACAAATTCTGTATGCAGATGAGCACAGCTGCATCTTAAGATACAAGAAGACACGAGAGACTGCTAGATTATTTGAGTCCTGATTTGTTAGTTTTTCCTTCCACTGGAATTACCGAGCTGCAGTGTTGCTGCTCAGATGCTAAGGAACCCATGCAATACTCACTGTACGCTTCAGCAAGAGATGCACAATTTGCTTTAACACCTCAAGAAAAATTACCTTACAAAAATATCTTCACACAGCAACTTTATTTGGATTCTGTGACATCTTAAACATAATAATCACATACTAGAAAATAAAATCATGAAGTGCTATTTCTCATCTTTTATGGTTTTGTAATATGGAAGATAAATTTAACTCATTGTCAATGCTAGCTATGATCGAGTGTATGAGAGACACTATTGATGCAACTGAAGTCATCTGTGCTGAACACAAAGTTAGCTGCACTTGTCACAAAATCTCATAAGAAAAGGCCTAAAAAAGTATTAAAATACTTAACAGTCCTTCAAAAGAGAAAAAAAAAAAAAAAAGAGATAGAGCCCTGACAAGTTGTATGTCTCTTTTCAAAGGTAACTCTAATTTGATTGTTAACAATAAGTTCAGCATCACCATAACCATATTTTCTTTTGGCAAATGTTCAGTAGCAACTAAAATATCCTGCTGTGCTTTTTCAGATTCTGATGTTTTCATTTGTTTTCAGCAAATACTGAAGGCGAATGAAATATTTAATTGCTCTGAAAACATTAATTACAGCATATGTGAATGGCTCTGGATTCCATACAGAATCACACGGGGCTCTGTTACAGCTATTTTTGACTCTACCTGAAAATCTGTAGGTGCTAACCGATAACGTGACTCACGTTTTCATTCTGTAATTGATGTAAATAGAATGAAATAAGCTAGTTTGATCAAACCCTCTGTATCTCAAGGTATGCATGATACAAACACTTCAGTACTATCTAAAATACAGCATGCTAATAAAAAGCATCTGTTCATAGGAAAGGTTTTTCACTCCTCTATTTCATGGATGTGATAGCAGAGAGTATTTAGAAAAGGAAAAAAAATACTCTTCAAACACAGTTAATTTAAATGAAGTGCCTTAAAATTAAAAGTCGCAAGTTTTGAAGTAACTAACAATTTTGACACCTCTACTTTTTGGATTGATAAAAAACACAAGCTGAATGCTGTTAACAAGCAAATTCTCAGAACATACTCATAGCCAAATACAGTCAAAGAGGAGGCTGAAAATTAAGCTGGAAAAAAAAAAATGAGGAAAAATTGCTTTTGAAAGTGTTAGCAATTAAAATGCATGGATAATTAGTCACCTTTTCTTCAGAAAAATAATACAATGAAGAATATTATTTCTGCTTACACAGAAATGCAGTGATCATGTGATCCAATTCTTTCAGCTCCTGTATCAAAATCTTATATGGTCTGACAGCCATAAGACCTGGACCACATATAGGGTAGAAAGTCAACAGGAGGAGGAATTGATGGCACATCTGACGGGCAGTTTGTGCCGATGACTTCCTACGGGTACCAATGCTCCTCTGCAAGATGGGGTTGATTTGAACACGTGCCAGACAACCAGCGATGTCAGCCCCTTCCCATACACATTTCCTAGAGCAACTAGGGATGCAGATTACCTCAAATTCTTTTTCCCAATCCAACTCTCCTTTCAAAAGGTATCTTGCCCTAAAGTTGCATTTTCAGCCATTAAGGCTATGATGAAATGTACAAAATAACTGTGTATTTAAAGGAGACTTCTCACTGACAGTAAGTTGAAGCTAACTTTTATTTTTTACGTGCCCGTAACTGCATTGAGAAGACTAACTTTGAACACAATGCACATTTCTAAAATTTTTGGCTTCAGTGTTTGCAGCAGTTTCATTTTCCTGCAAATGTTAGCAGTTGGCTACAATCCTCCAAATGCAACATCTGCATTAAAAGCAAGAAAAAACAAATCAGGGCCAAACTCCAGGTCCCATTGAAGTCAAGACAGATTTTCTTCTTTTTTTCTTTTTTTTCCCCCCATCAGTGCTAACAGAATTTAATTAATCTGAGAATTAATTAGTAGGAAAATAAAATTAAATTCTAGAAACAGGATTATAGCAGGACACCCTTATCAGCACCATTTCCGCTCTACTGCAAACCCTAGTTTTCAAAAGCATTTGCAGATGGGTTATATATTGCCGTTACATTTTTCCCTCAGCTGAATGATTATACATTCACTATTCAGCACAGGAGGCAAAGGAGTTTGATGGTATTTCTGGGCACCAATCTTCCATCAGAGGAATTCTGCCTACCCTCAAAAAAAGTCCAAAAACAGACAAAAGAAAACAGACCTGAGCATAGTCATCGCTCTGAACAGTTCTAGCAAGACAGGCTTGGACCAGTTTAGGGTTTCATATGGATTGCCTATATAGTATTGGCTATTGGCATTATCACAATGCACAGAAACCTCAGTGATGGATGAGGATTCATCTGGGGTTGAACTCTACAATATGCAAACAAAAATGCTCATCTTTGAGACTTAAATTTCAAGCAACAGAAGTTGCAATATTTTTTTTTTTTTCACTAAACTCAAAATATCAAAACTCAATTAAGAGTCTGGAAAGAGCCTATTCACTAGCTGTCCCATCCAAATTCCAATACAGCACAATTTATAAACCACAAGTCTAATAAATTAAGAATAGAAATATTATTTAGCAAAATAATGTGTAACTGCAAATAATGCTAACCTTAGGGGACAGTAACTCTTCAATCAGTCTACAGAATGCTGAAGCAAGATGGTATTAGTATTGATATTTATTATATTTTAAGCTTCCAGTTTTACTACTTCTCTACGGTTCTGTAACATTTGTTCTATTAAAATAGGTTGGTCGTATCTATTGTTGACTGCCTTAATGCTTTAATTTCTGATGTAATACTTTGCTTTTTAATAGCATTTTTCTTGAAATTTTAGTAATATTTTAAGATTTGAAACCAAAGGTATATCCTTAATGATCAGTAAATGTTCCTTTTCATTTCTGTTCTGTAAGGTTTTTTTGAAATACATTCAATATTTCTCATTAGGCAATATCTTTCTCAGTCACAGAGAGATTTCTCCCAAAATCTCTGAATTTTATATAAGTAGGTACAACACAAGGTAATTAACATTTCCATTTTAAACTTACAGATTTATACAAGCTCATGTCAACAGAAGTCCAAATTTACTGTAATTACAGATTATTTACATTAAAACAAAATAAGAAATCAGTATGTAAATGTAATGTTTGTTGTAGCTAATGCAGCAGGAGGTGGTAGATTAGGTTCAAACAGCAATCAGTTAGCAAATCTGGCTAACATGTAAATGAGCAGAAGCCCTTTTGTTTACATTCTATTGCATTTTAAACGTCAGGATTTTTAAACTGTCTCATGAGCAGATGTGAAAATAAAACATTAATCTTACCATTCTTATTGAAGCTTTCAAAGTAACTAAAGCAAGGCACTGCTCCTGTCCAGCTAAACAGACAATACTAATAATTGGAGTTGTAGGTTACATCGTTCTTAATTAACACTCTGCTACAGTTGATAGCGTACAACAAGACACCATGCCACGATCACCACTCCTCTGCAACAATCTAATGTACACACACTCAGCAATACATGGAACTGTTATGTCAAAGATGGGGCTTTTTATTCCTATCCACACAGATCATTACATTTCTTAAATAAATTACAACTGCTTAGTAAAAATACATTAGTTGTAATAATCACCAAGGTATGCACCAGGTCAAATGGCTTTCAACTGTTTTGAACCTCTAATGATTCATCAGGTATAATAAAGTATGTAAGACTTTTAGTTATTTAGCAAAAAGTATAAATATAAAATATAATATACCCATTAAAGTGACAACTGAAGGAAAAAACTGAGGAAAAAGGGCCTCCCAGGACATGCAAGACAGTAGGAGAGACAACCAGGAAGACCTAGCTCTGTGGCCAGACTCACGTGCCATCGCTTTTGATGCTCTCTTCTACTGCATTCTCTAAAACCTTTCCCTGAACTGGGTATTGCCAGCTTTCAAGAAGCATCTGAGGCAACAAAGGGAAGGAAAGTCACACTGAGGAACTGAATAATCTAATCTGACAAAGCCGGAGCAAGGGATCTCTCCTCCCATTGGACAATTAAATGATGGACGTTCTTCGGCATTTTTCCTTTTAAGACTGCTTTCCAAAGGAAATAATGTTTTTTCTCACCCACTTGTCCCATCCAGTAACTTTTAAACATACTCACTAGTTTCAAGGAGGTCTGACAGCATTAGAAAGGTCTCAAAGACTGGGTGTAAATCAACAGCTGGGTAGAGGAAAGGGACCCAAATTACTACCCACCTTAGTAAAAGGCTGCAGTACAAGCATGCCATTTTTATACTCCATCCAGCCAACTTCTGGCCAATGATTACAGAACTACCTACAGCATGTGTTGTCTCCTTTCCTTCGATATTACTTGGCTACCAGCTGCAGAACAGAGGCAGGGCAAGCTGATTGACCATGCAGTGGAAAAAAAAATGGCGCAGGTGCTACAAAATACACGGGAAGAACTGGAGGCAGTGTCAGAGGCAGGTAAGATCATAGGAACCATGGAAAGAGAGGGCTGAGTTACTGCAGGCACTGGGATGATGCAGGAATTCACTAGAAATCAGGTTTCATTATATCCACAGCTCACAGAACATGTTGTTATTGTTTTGGATATCATACATGGATAAGTATGGCTTTGCCAGCTGAAATTGTGGAAGCAGGGCATGTAACCTTACAGATGGTAGGTATTTGACATTTAAAGTTAATCTTTACACCTCAATTTACTAGCATGCAGTAGTAATTCACTGGGTTTCTATTACCTATAAAAGCTTTAGATATGCCACTGATGAACGAAGGAGATTTCTGCTTGTTTAAATTGCAGGATCACTTTGCCATTACATTTAGACACCAGCTTAAGTCAGTTCTGGGTTAAGCCCATTCAGTCTGTCACAATAAACTTCAATGCCTACATACCAATATATTGGAAAAGGATTTCAGACACTGTTCTCCTTCAGTGTCAAGAACAGGCACAAACTGGAGTTTATGGAACTGTGACTAGATTGCTCATTTTAAGAAGGGCATATGCATAAAATATCACATACTGAAATCTCAAGCTTTTCAAATATCACTTTCTGGAGATATTCAAATCACAACTATTTATCTCTAGTTCAAATAGAAGGCATTTGAAGAAAATGACAGATTAACTCATAAAGTAAGAGACAAAGTTCCTTAACATCCATTAATAATAGATGTGAGCATCATGCTTTTAAAAATTGTGGGTAACAAACTAATCTGAATAATAACTGACCTAACAGTAGGCAGTAAACACTGTAACTGGGTTTGGTACATTGCTTCAATTAGATGTGTTTTGATCTGCATTGATGCTTTAATTGGAGGCAAGCCTCCCCTTTCATCTAGAATTTATGACTTCAGGGAGATGATCTAGCCTTCAAATTATCCTTCTTTAAGTAGCCACTAATTAATCATCGTTTGCTATCCCAACGCTACCAACTTTATCTTAAAAATATCCAGAACTAATCTCTACTATGAAACAAGTATTAAACTGTAAAAGTAACAACCACTTTGATTTTACTAGCAAGTAAAGTTCTTTTAAACTATTCGTCCAATCAAAAAGCCTAAGAACCATTTTTGAACACTTTGTTGCTATACAGTTTATTGCAGTGGCAATAAACAACATTCTTCAGACCCCACTTTTCTTTCCAGAATCGAAGACATTCAAATTACAACATACAGTGATAGCTGGGTAGAAAATTTTGAAAATGGAAATTTATTTTTAAAAAAACCAAACAAACCATTAGTATTTACAGTGTTTTTCCCCAGTATTTTCACTGTCCTTCAATTATTTGCTTAAGTACAATGGCTTATTGTCCTCACGCACAACTATAGCTCCTGTTTGCATGTACAGTTCAGATACAGCTCACCACCACTCTGCTCCCTCTGTTCCAGTGCCATTATTCCCTCTCTTACTGCTTCTTTTCTTTGTAATTATTATTTTTATAATTTATTTTATCTTTCTTATTTCCTCCACAGACTACAGGGTTATGGGCACAAGTGTTGTTTAGTACTATCTGAAGAAACCAGTTATTTATCTATATATTGTCAAAGAATTTCCTTCATCAGTAATATGATTTCATTTGTAGAATATTCTCCTATTAACTACAACAGCAGAAAAACAACTCCCTCTTCAGACACCTTGAAGGCACTCTAGTCTAATGATTGTGCAGTTTGACCAGTTCCAAACGCAGCCCTCCTGGCTGGCTGGCAGGGCCAGGGCTGGAGCAGCGCTGCTCTTCCAGGATTAATTACTGGGCACCCTCTAGTGGCTACCAAAATAAATTAATATTTTCCTGATGAAGAGCACATACAGGTCTTCCTCTGAGAAAGTGAAGGGCAGGAAAGAAAACAAGCCAAAGTAAACAAAGTAATTGCAAATTACTTTGTAAGAGTAAAAATTACATTTTTCCGTAAAATAACATTTCCTTTTCAAACCTTAGCAATATCCAATGACATATGAGCACTCATGGTTAACTTTTGGGTTGTTCAAATCAGTAATAAAAGATACCCTGCTCAGTTAGAGGAAATTAATTATTCAGCCTGCCTACATACTTTTTAAAAGCCCAAGAAGATAAGATAAAATAATGTTAACAACCATTTTGGAAAGAAAATTCTGATCTGCTGGCAATGATTTATACAAGTTTACATTAAATGAGCCAACATAAGGCAGTAACTTATGAAAGGCCAGTTCTCATTTCCACAGGGACTAGTTTTTTGTTAAATTAAAGTCATTGTATCTGGGAGGTGTAAAAAAGTGGTTAATGTACCACACCACTGTTTTTAAAAACTGAAAATTTTTAAAAACATTAAAAACCTTCTTGTCAACAATGAGGTGCTGAGGTAGTTCACCTTACTAGAGCAGTGAAAACACTTTGTATTTACTGATTGCAGACTTCTGCAAGGATACATGTGGCTTCACAAAAACCATACAAAACCAAATCATACAAGTAGAATTTCAGACTTACCCAGAATGACTTGAAGAAGGAGGAGGCAGTTCAGGTGTTAGAACATAAAGACTATTATTTTTTGGCAAGTGTAGAGTTTTTAAAACAGTCTGAAGGGAGAAAAATAATTATAAATATAAAACATTCACCAAGTTTGATGTATCTTTTTATTTCTTTTAATTATTGATACTTATTTACAATACCACCAAACATTTCGTTTTGAGATACACTTACTGTTAAATTCATAACATTTTTTGTAGGTGGGCTGTTATATATAAAAACAACACAAAAAGTGATTTGTTTAATAGTTCCTCGTATGCCACCCAAGACATCTAACACTGTTTGAAACTAACAGTTCTTGCACTGCATTTCCCACCCACTGATTCTCAGTTTGAAATTCTGAATTCAGATAACTGAAATCATGGTTGAAAACTTACACTATCATCTACATCTCCAGTCTTCCACCCTTTTAACAGCATTTTAGACGCAGGAATCTGAAGTTCATTTTCTAGAATATGTTTGATATCTCCTAAAGAGAAAACAAAGAAAATATATAAAATATACACACTTACCAATTTATTTCAAACAGAGTACCGAGTTATAGTTAAAAAACAAGAGCAAGGAAAAATTTACTATGAAAACCATTTTTAATCTAGTTACCCATTTAACACATACTCCAAACATTAAAGGACAAATGAAGCTTAAAAAAAAAATTTAAAAAAATCACATAAAGCATCAATGATTAGAAAATCACAGGAGGATTCGATGATTTGCACATATATTTGAATAGTTCTACACTGCATATGCTAGACACACACATTTGCAGATGCATGTTATCTGGAGCAATGGACTTTGCCAGCAATAAACAGGGCGTGTATTTTTGATACCCAATTCCATTATCAATAATCCTGACCTAAAAAACTGAAGTGTTCATACATTTTAACTGCTCCGACAGATTTTTCAATGTTTTCCACATTTGAATGCTCTCCTCTCCCTGCAGTTACCATAATCATAAAATAATTCAGGCTGGAAGGTACCTCAGGAGGTTATCTAGCCCCAAGCCCAGCTCAAAGGTCTAATTAAACCATTTTAGTCATGGATTTGTCCGGCTGACTCCTGAACACCTCTAAGGATGGAAATTTGACAGCTTTGTTGGCCAGCTTGTTCCAGTACTTCACCACTCTCCCAACTAAAAAAAAAATAATAATAATAATAAAAAAATCTAATGGGGATTTTCAATGTTGCAAATTGTGTCCATTGCCTCTCATCTTATTATCATGCACCTCCAAGAATCCACAAAGAGTCTGGCTCCATCTCTGTGTCCTCCCAGCAGGTAGTCGTAGACAGAGGTAAGCTCTGTACCTCTCCCCTTCTCTTCTCCAGGCTGAACAAATCCAGTTCTGTGCCTCATTTCGTACGTTGCCATGTGTTCCAGTCCCCTGACTATGTTGCTGGCCTCTGCTGGACTTATTTGCAGAATATCAACGTCTTCCTTGTACCAGGGATCTCAAAACTTGATGCAGTGCTGAACAGAGGGCAATGATTATTTCCCTGGATCCACTGGCTACACTCTTGCTAACACAGCCTCGGATGCGGCTGACCTTCTTCACTGCAGGGGTGCGCTGCTGATGGACCCCTAGATCCCTTTTTTTATAAAGTTGCTTTCTAGCCTGTCAGCCCTCAGCCAGTTACCAGATGGGATAACGTGGAGTTATCCTATCCCACATGCAGGATTTCAACTTTGCTTTCTTTGAACTTCATGAGGCTCCTGTCTGCCCATTTCTCCAGGCTGTCCAGGGTCCTCTAAATATCGGCCTTGCCCTCCAGAGTATCAGCTATTTTCTCTGATCTGGTATTCTTTGTCAACTTGCCAAGAGCACTCACCTTACCAACCAGGTTATTCATGAAGACATTAAGCAACACTGGCCTTAGGATCAACCACTGAAGGATGCCCCTGAAGTAGTAAGTGCTGGCCAGTCAGACTTTGAGACCAGCAGTCCAGGCAATTATCTACCTACTTTATCAGTTCACTTATCCAGTCCTTATCTTAACACTATGACTACAAAAACACTACAGCACAGTGTGTCAAAGGCCTTGCTAAAGCCAAAGTGACATCCACCATTCTCCCCTTGTCCATAGAGCCAATCACCAAATTATAAAAGGCAAATAACATTGATTAAGCACAATCTGCCCTTAGCAAATCCATGCTGCCTGTTCCAAATCACCTTATTTTCTTTTCTGTTTTCAGAAAGGACTTCCAGAAAGATTTTCTCCATAATTTTCCCACAGACCAAGTTCAGCAATCACCAATGAACAGCAGGCTCACATTTTCCTTAGCCTTTCTTTTCATGCTGATGTACTTACAGAAGCTCTTCCAATCCCTCAGTGGATTCAGCTCCATCTGAGCTTTGGTGTAACTCCAGACCTGTATGCTCTGGCAACATCTTTGTATTCCTCCTGGGTAGCCCCATCACTACCTTCCCACTTTCTGTCTACTTTCTTTTTGCATTTAGCTTGGTCATAAATTCTTTGTTCTTCTGTCCTGGCCTTCTGACATGCTTCCTCCTCTTTTTGCATTTGGAAGGGACTGTTCTTGTGCTTTGAAGTGGTTTCCCTTGAAGATCAACCAGCTCTCTTGGGTCCCTTTGCTGTCAGGGCAGTCTTTCATGGGATCTTGCCAAGCAGATCCCTAAAAAAGCAAAAAAAGTCTTCTTTCCTGAAGTCCACAGTTGAAATTCTATTTGCCTTGCTCACTTCTCTCAGGACATTAAACACAAAGCTGCCCTCAATCTTCATATGCCAAGTTAGAGACAAAAGTTCTACACTGACTGTTTCTGCCCTAAAGCTTAATCATTTATACCCGAAATAAGTTAATAAGAAAAAATAAAATACTACGGCTGCAAAATTCTGATTTGATCAGATTTTTATATCTCTTTTGTACGGATGTAACTCTGCAGTGGAAAACTCATGAAACACTAATCAGGAATTCAAACTAATCACCACTAGGTGGCACCAGCCAATTCCAAATCGAATGCTAAAAAGTCAAATGAGGATCAAAAGTTTCAACTACAAAATTTCATCACAGACATAAGGCTGCAGCACTGCAAACTGTTCCAATCAACTATTTCTTCATTTAGTTCCTTATGTTGATCTGTATAGAGTCTTCACTAAAAACAAATAAACAAAACTCTTTGTCCTTAGCAAAAGTAAATTAACTCACAATTTGGGGAATGTAAAAAAGAACATGCTCTGCAATGCTAACAATAGCATATTTCTAACATACTGTTACAAAATGCATCAGGTTTAGAATAAAGGCATTAAAATTTATAAAAGAAGTCTTAATTTTCACCAATAAGTCAAATATAAATTGTGAAAAGAGGAATGCAACTATGCTTTTCACACTGGAAAGAATTCCTCTAAATCTTGTCACTAATCCTACACAGAAAGAGGTGTCATACAGATTCAAAAAGGAAATGCCAAGATCATCCACTTATTAGTAGGTTACATCTACACTAATCCTACCCCAAATAACATTTTCATGCCTCAACTTAATCAGTAATGTCCATTTTGTTTCTGAAGCAAGTTCATAAGAAAACTAGATTTCAAAATAAGTATTTGATAGATCACTAACCTTTCTTTACAATGGATTAGTGAAATTTTGCTTTTTTAAAGCTGCAAAGAGATTTGAAAATGGTTAGTAGCTGTGGAGGCTGCACTTCCTCAGAGATTTTTTTCTTCTTTGAGAGGTTCTGGTTTGCTTTGTTTTTTCTTTTTTTTAGGACTTCAATTTTTGGAGTTGGGTCTTTTTTTGTTCGGGGTTTGTTTGTTGTTTTTAATTTTTTAACAATTTTACAACAAGACTTTTCATTTCATTTTTACAAATCCTTACCAACTGTTGAGCTGTCTTCAAGTACTACATCCACGTTTCTGTCTCTATACTCAACCCTGAAGTCAAGCATTCGAGGTTGTCTTTCCACTATTTGTCTAGATGGCACTACATGGCGAAATGCTGAGGATGAGGAAGGAGTTGAAGAAGCTGCTGTAGAATGACTTGTGGAGCCATACGCTGGTCCATGTAAAGTCTCTCCACCATATTCACTGAAAGATATGCACATAAGAAGGTTTAAACAGAACAGCTTGATATGATTAAATAAAAGTTAGCAAAGCAAAATGAACAGTATTATTCACTTACTATAGTCCACAGCACGTACCTCTTGAATAAACTACACTGTCATATCTGAAAATACTGGTTTAATAATAATTTGAAAATAGCTTTCATATCAGCAATATTAAAATTTCAGTGATTCAGAAGTGCCATAGGAGAACAGCTTAGATGACAAACAGGTATTTAAGCCATTATTTCAGTCTGAAGTTCACTATGTAATTAATATCAGAATTATCTTGAGAAGAAGCATTATTTCCAGTTCCAGGAGTGCTGTGACCATATAAAAATTGACACCATGGCAAACACCAGCTTTCCACCTCATTGGGCTACCATCACATGGAAATGAGAATGAGAAATAAAGTTCAAAATCCTGCACCTGTATTGGTATTTTCCCATGGACAATGGACCAGCTTGTTATCCAAGTCAGTCAGTCACTCCTCAGCTCCTTCCCCTGACCAAAAGGTTCCTAACATTCTTGTATTTTGAATATAAATGCTTTGAGGTCAGGACTTATTAACATAGGTAGAAAGAGTACTCAACACAACCAAGACTTGATCTCAAATGGACTAGTTTGGCTTTACCATAAATAAACATCTAGTAACTTTACTAAGCAAATAAGGTTTTAACCTGAATCAAAAACACTCTATTTAATGATAGCTTTAGCAAGTATTGATAGAGATGCCAAAAGGCCATTTTCAGCTACATTATGTATTTTTCCATCATTAAAATAAACTTTTAAAAATAATATATTAAGTATTTTTCTAAGCAAAATTTTAAACGCTATTTTACTGTCTCTCTCAAGTAGCTCAATTCGTGTTCTGCTCTTTCAATTGCCTCATCAGCACTTAGGAGCTCATGCTTCAGTGACTTCAAGATATCCAAGCATCAATATACAAGCCAAAACTTAATTCAGAAGCTGAAAGAAAATCAGTAAATCTACTTTCAGAAGGGAGTACCTTACTTTATGTACCACAGTATCTTCTGCCTGGAATTCAATTTAAAAAAAACCCATATATACAAAACATGAACTTTTTTTGGCAGGGGACAAAGGGGCACAGAATATCAATACCTTTAGAAGTGCACAAAAGATAACAGTTAGCCAGGAACATCTGTGGATTTGCCTTGCAAATTTTTAGATCTTTGCAGAAAAAAAACAAGCCCTGACTTTCGAGAAAGCATACCAAAATCCAAACTTCATAAAGACACAACCCTGCATAGAATGACCCAACAACCAATTAATTCAAAATAAAAACTAATTACTTTGAATAGGTGTTTGAGCTGGTCTGGTCCTCTATCAGTACTGGAAAAATTGAACATTAAATCAGCTTTGCCAGGAATTGAATTTGTGGCTCCAGAAACTTTTAATAGAATTACATCATAATCTTAGGATTCAGGAAAAAAAACGTAACTATTACATAGCAACATTCTCTGTGTGTGTAGTACTCCAGTCTTCTGTGCTTACCTCTGCAGAATGCCGTTTTCTTGTGGTATTACACCATTTATAGCTGCCTGAAAAAAGAGAAAACAAATTTTTAGTTCAAGCATACAGAGCAACAAAAATTACATCTGTAATATGTTTTAATGAGTTATTAACTTGCTTTAAAATATGCCATAAAATGTTCTCCACTCAATGAATATATTCTTGGTAAATGACATTGTCATTAAATAACCTGCTTAAAATAAAAATCTTATCTAAGTGAAAACAAACATGAACTGAAGCTCAGACTCCTATATGTGTGTGATGGATTTCCCAGGCAGAACACACGGGGGTAAAATGCATGATCCATGCTCAGTAAATCTAACACTTTCTACACTTGCTACATACATACCGCAAACATACTGCTTTCAAACACATCAAGCTAACTGTGCACAGACAAGGCAGCCAGACAGCACGTACACAAAAAAATCTCATGTTTCCCAGAAGTATCAGACCTGCACAAACCTATAAACCTGCACAGCTGCACATACACTACACGCTGCCAGCCTGATGTGTTCAGGAATTGCTGAAGTCAGCACAAATGGCTACTCACAACCAGCACGCATGCCTCCATCACACCCACACCTTCCAGACAACCTGCTTCTAGCTCAGACACACAAACACCATCTAGCTTCTTAAGACTCCTCATGTGCCAGGGAATCACCGAAATTACTAGCCCCAAAGTTCAAGCAATCTTCAGGTAGAAAAATAAGTATTTTTCAAGCAAGGTTTATGCAGTTAAACATCACCCCATGCTGTCCAGATCACCAGTACAAACAAAATGTTACTTACAGGCGTATAACTACAAACCTGGCAAAGCTGCATTCAGATTTGGTCTTATTTGAAATTACAAAGTTATTACCTATACAAACACACTAATGAATTCCATCTCACATTAAAATGCATTATTTTTACAATAGCCACAACATACTCCCATTGCTAGTTCAAAACTCCACTTCCAACAGAAGTGTCTTCTCAGCTTGTTAGAGCACTGCTCCATCCTACGCTGCAGAAGGTTTTAATGCACTTCCAGCACATCTGATGCTACACAAGTTTATATAAACTTAAGTCAGGGTGAGGGAAAAACTTGGAAAGCAAGTAAGACTCTCTTCAACAGTATTTAGAAGACCACTTATTTCAGACTGCTTTATACCACACCAAGGAAGTGTTTTAAAACCATCTCATTGCTAGGATTTTTCAGATTCGAGGGGGATTGAAAGTGATACTATGTGAGCTGGTGAAGATGACTTACACGTTTTACTGCCCAGCTGTTTGAACTTTGTTCTGATTACTGTTAGAAGCCATGGGAGTAAAGAAGTCAGAACCTTCTCCAACTTCAGACTTTTAAGCAATGGCCAGATAAAGTGGAATAGCACAGGAGGAAATTTGACAAGGAATGAGAAATAATGAAAAAAAAAAAATATCTAGACAGTTAAAAAAAAAAAAACCCCAGACGTCCAAATTCAAATTCTATTTCTGCTCTTTGATGATCTTTATAATCACTATTGCATTCGCAGGTACATGTTTGTTAGGCTTAACAGTGAGATTAAAGAGAGCTTGTAGCATCTCCCTAATCTCCATTTTCTGCTGTCCCACCAGCACTTCATGTATTTCCTCTATGACAACTTCTAATATCACTAATATCTGTTCTCCTATGTCAGATATACCTGACCTGTTGGCCTGTACACCTGGTGAATGAGTGTCTGGTCCCTGATGAAGAGAGGAACACTGACCTTTAGAAGCTCATAGATTCTCTGGTATTCCAGGAGGACAGTCATATATTGCAACTGAACTATGGACAGTCATCACCTATCAATAACATTTTTACAAACTGACATAAAAAAACCTGCAGCCTAAGTGTTTAATAAACACAAAAATAGATTAAATTAAGATTTAAATGCTATGTTTTCTTTTTCTCTGAATATATAAACATGTCTTTTTACAATTTCCATTGATAGTTAAGGTTACAAAGAGTCAAAAAGTATTGCTGCTGAACTCAGCTAAGTAACTATGACATTGCAAAAAGATTTGCCATGTATTTAGAGATAAATAACAGCAAAAAAAGCAGACAAGGGAAAGGGTCACAGGTATGTGTAAGCTACAGCAACTACCCATGAGGCCGTATCCAGTTACAGCAAAAGCAAAGCTTCCTACCAGATCAGTTCTAAAATCAGTTTATCCACCATGCATGGCATTAATCAGTGGTTTCTTTTTAACAACACGTCTCATTTATCATCATTGTGGTTTCTACATTCATACATAGCTCTTCATCATGTTCATTCAACAAACCTCCAGGAAAAAGTGGGAGGTTTTGGTTTGTTTGGGTTTTTCTGGATTGGCTTCCCCCTTCATACTCTTCAGCAACATACACTTCATTCCCATCAATCAACAGGTAAAGTTGGTTGAAAGACAAAAATGTGCTTTATTTTGCATCTGTAGGATTTAGAGAGTAAATATAGGGATTTGTACCACAGGACCAACACTAATAGTGATCTGCTGGTGCGATAGAATTCTCTGAGAAAAAGAAGCTGCTTCAGCTATGAAGAAACATAGCACAGGGTGGCATTTCCACTTTTTCTGTCAAAGCTCATGTCTCAGTCTCAGAGGATTAAATCAGCTCAAACTTCTTCTAAGCCTAGTTAGGGGGGGTTAAATATGATAGAGGCTCCAAGCTATTTTCTTTAAAACTGAATAACTCACTTGTTCACATCCCCAGTTTTGTAAACTTGATGACATTTAAGGGGCACAGTAGTAAGAAAAAACAGCAGCAGCATTATGTACTTTTTTGATGGAAAGACCTCTATTAACCACACTGTAAAAATAAAGAGTCTGGACACTGTTTGTTAAGCAAGATGGAAGACTAAAATTATGCAGATGGCAAATGGTAGCAGTGCACATACAGATATTGCATAAATATTAAATACTCATGTCCTTACAAGACATCTCTAAGTAGACTCTGCAAAGAAAACAACAAAAAGGAACAAACATCTGCTTCAGGATTTCATAGGAGAAAGGTTGTGACTATAACAATAACAACAACAAAAAAAACTTATTAAGGCAAGATCTGTTCCAGGCTGTTCCTCCCCAATGTCAGTCCCCTTTGAGAGAGGATCAGGTCTCTTATGGTTAAGCAAACATTCAAGAATATTAATTTTTTTTTGTCTTTCCAAACAGGGATCATTTGATCATCAAAACCAGCCTGTGTGACTAATATATAGTAATTAAAGAGACGTATTACCCTTGAAATAAATTTAATAACAGGTGCAGTAAGTCTATTCATAGTTACTATAGTAAATATAAAGATACCATATCTGGCTCAGAAAACTTCTTTAGCTCCCAATAACCTGTTGCTGAGAGTGCCTGCAGGGAAGTAGCACTCCATTCTCACACCGTGCATCCACCACAAATGTCACTGTGGGTTACTGGGTACCACCGTTTCAATGGGTGTTTTATCTATTTTAATCCTATCACTCTTTAAAGACTGAAGCTTGCCTTAACTGGAAAATTATAGGCACTATATAAGATTATTTTCCCAAAGCCAAAATTCTTAGGTGTGTATCAGTGCTATCCATATACAAACTCTACTGTAACACTGTTCAAACTTGGAACAGAGGAACAGAAGGAACAACATAATTATTGTTTTGATTACACTGTTCAAACAACTACCAGAGCTACAACTTATTTTAGGAAATTATAAATGAAATTTAGTTATTCTTGATTTATACATTTTGAGTAGAGGTATCCATCATATAGCCAGGAATTAAAATAGTTTATTTAAGAATTTATTAAGCCCTGTATGACCTGAACTAATTGGACCTGCTTTTGACCAGACCAACATACATGGGGACCGATGAGAGCCAATTACTTAAGTCCAAAGTAACAATACTCTTTTTTGGGTGATTGTTTCAGCAGCAAGTTTCTAGTATCAAAATACATTAAATCCAACTTTTTTATTATTTCCTGCAAATATAGGAAACAATAAAGCAACAGGGTTAATAAAAGGTCATCAAATTCATTAATAGTTTGGGCAATCCAGAAGCTCTGTGGTATTCTACAAACAGACTGAAATATTTAAGTGCCTAAAGAATGTTGTGAAGCAGACTGTGAAATGTAAAGCTTTTCCTCAAGGGAATATCAACGTAAATAGATTAGTCAGTTCTGACTAAACATGACTATCTTTTATGAGTACAAAGCAGTGTTACAGAGAAAAACAAGAACAACCCTTTCTTAAGAACCTGATGAAGCAACAATGTTGATGTCTTCTCTCAAAATACACAATTTAGTACTAATCATCTAAAACCAATTAAGCACATCTTACAGTGACTCTCATCCCCGGGGAATGGGTGTCCTATGAATAATTATGAATGTTGTATTTTAGATAGCACAAACCCTAAACTCCTGAGTTTAAAATACTTGGTAATTATCACTAAGTTTGAAAACAGACTGGATTTGCCAATCACATTTAAAAGCAGAGGTCGACATATACTGATTGTATATTTAAACGAGGCAGGGAATTCCTTCCTTCTCATGAATTACAGATGGGAGGTTTTATTTCCAGAATTTAAAAGTGATGTTTAGATGAATTACCTTCAGAGTTTAAAGCAGGCCCAGACAAAAGAGCAGCTAAAGGCTTTTTCAGTGGGTGAGGTGGGAGATCTTCCTCCGTGCCCATCTCTTATTCCCCCTCCCCTCCAATCTCCATACCACACAATGGTTTTGGCTGCCAGATACAAACCCTACCCTAGACATAGATCCTCTAAAACTTTCCAAATGTAAACCTCTACCCCGATGCAAAGCAAGAGCAATCAGGCTCCAGTCTGACATGCAGGAACTATGGATTCTCCTCAGGAAACATTTTTGGACATTTTGCATGAGTGAAAGAAATCTTGGGAAGCACAACATAAGATCAACTTTCCAAAACAAGAGTACTAGAAAACACATCTCCAAGCAAAAGGATAAAGCAATTTCGAGCAGCATGATGCTGGAAGAACAACCCTTTCAGAAGAAGAGGTTAGAAAGATGTAAATGCCGT